GCGTTGTGCAGCTGAAAGAAATGCTAAGTGTTAGTGAGTCTGCATCATGTCTTTTAAGGAGACAGTAGCTTTGATTTCACCAGTTCTTGAATCTAGATAGCAGTTGGCTCTCTAAATCAACAAAAAGGACTCACTGTGAACTAATATTGAACTTTGCAGGACTGCTGCTACACAAAACATGATCACAACAGCATATCAGCATGCTGACAATACTGAGCGTATAGATCTTAGACGGTTCAATCCCACTCCAACCCAAGCAAACATCATCCAGTCCTCTCATAAACATTAACCTCAGCTTATCCAACCACAAAACATACCAGACTGACGTTTGTCCACTTTCAACACCGTCTGAGTCTGTTATCAAAGTCTTTGAGCTACAGAAGTGATCAAATAGCAGGAACTAAGAGGCTGGAGGCTGATAGCAGGAGCTGATGATGGAAGCTGACTGTGATGTTAAGAACCACAGAAATTCACTATCTAATGATAATGTTAAGGTTTTGGTCGCTTGATAACGGCCGGTAGCGTCTCTACGTTAGATCACACTCTGTTGCAAATTGACAACATCAATTCAGTTTTAAGAAAATAATAAATCGGTAACATTCTTAGAACTGCGGCTAACATTCTTCCAGTTACTGTTTAGAATGTTTGTTCAAAGTTATCTGTTTTTGATAATGTTCTAAAAATGTTTGCACACACAAAAAAAAGACATTATTATTACATAATTCATGGAGACATTGAAATATTTCAGTTGGATGCTCTACTAACTCTTTTTTAAATGTTACAACTTGTTTCAGAATGTTCAGAGAATATTCAAAAGTAACGTTTCCAATAATGTTTACATGGTTTCTGCAGGTCTTAAAAAGTCTTCATTTGACCTTCTACAAATGAAGGCTTTAAAAGGTCTTAAATCAGTCAGTCTTGTTTTTTTTTTGTTGTTGTTGGAGCCCATTGGCAGATATTTATTTTTTTAAATCATGAATCATACGTTTTTAATCATTCAACTCACTTAACGTTTACGTATAACGTTTTTAAAATGTTTTAAAAAAGGATGTTTAGAACGCTTAGAGAACATTCAACTTAACAGAACTGTTAGCAAGTTTTTAGAACTTTTGTTATCGTTGTTTTGGCAAAATTCTACTCAACAAAAAGTAACTTTTCTCATTTGCTCAGAATGGGCTGTGTGTAAATCAAAGGAGAAGTGGAGGACATCATGCATGTGCAACATAACTGTTTTTGAGTAACTGTAAATGCTCAAAAAGAAATGTTTTATGCTTTTTATTTCTGACTTGACGCATGCTTGGCCAACAGTTTTGGACATTTCAGCAGGTAGCAGCTAGTACTTGAAAATAATGAGCCAAGATGGCCGCCAAGTGATTTCTTTTAAACACACTTGTCATGCTTTCATTGAAAACGAATTCATTCATAGACTGGCAGATTTCAGGAGAAAAAATCTATCTAAGTTTACACAAAAACTGTTGAGCATCTCTTGATTTGAGTGATTTGAGTGAGCGTCATTGGTGAGTCAAGATGGTTTCATACTAATTGTTTGAGGTGCTGTTGATTTGATTTTGACCACATAGTATTATAATGTTCAGACATGGTTGATTAGTTTGGTTGTACTTTTCATGTGAGCTGTTTGAGATCAAATGCACTGCAGGCTATTGATTTGGACAGTTTTGCATGAAATGAAAAGACTAGGTAGGTTTGTTTGTGCGCTCATGGTGGGTCAAACAAAGAGCCAGAGATGCCATCTAATGGCTCAAGTTTTTATTTTTATGACCTGCTGGATTTCTGAGATGTTTTAATAGACTGGTGTGTGTATGTGAGTGCACTTAAAATACGTAACGCTCTGTTTTGTGTGCCACTATTCTGGGAAAATGTCTTCATTTGTACCCCCAGCATCCACTGAAATGCCCTTCAGCATGATTCAAACAAAAAGATGAACATTTTTGTGGCTTAGCAAACTATAACATTAGCATGACTCATAATTTCCCACTGTTAGGTTGGATAGAGAGTGGGTCACATGTTGCTGAACGCACTGATATTGGCTCTCGAGGCGATGCAGTTAGAAGCCATTTATTTTATGAGGATAATGACAGGGAAACATGAGGGGAAACCGATGTGTGCTTTCCTCCAGGGAAATCTCTATAGCATCTATTTTAAGATGTTTCGGATGTTGGCCTGTAAAATGAAAGTGGGTTTCTGAGCGGTCAGGTCTGCTGAAAAACCTATAGCACAGAATAAAGGGTATGACTGGATCTGATGATGGTGAGTGGAAAGAAAAATAGGAACAGTTATGAAAGAGAAGAAGTTACGAAAGAGAAACTTATTTTTCTTCTTTGCATATTTCCTTTTCTCTAGCTTGCTTCCTAATCTAGTCTAATAAACATGGCATTGTATTTTATGATTATTGTTGGCTCTTTGACAAAGAGAAGGTAACAGCATCTGCTAAATGCATAAATGTAATGTAAATGTAACAATTTAGCTTTACACAAATCCATATTCAGATACAGTTGTAAAGTTTGGAGAAGACAGTTGAACATCAAAACAAGAAGAAAAAAATATTGGGCAAGAAAAATAATCTTGTTTTGCCTTTGAATTAAGATTCTTTTTCTTATTCATTTGGCAGAACTAACAAAATTTAGATTTTTTTTTTTAAAACAGAAAACAAGACTTAATATATTACATAATTTTGCTTCAAGTAAATGCATCTTGATTCAAGAATGTTTATTTATACTAGAAAACAAGGCAAAATAATTTTTGAAAACATATATTGATGTCTTAAATTCAAGTTTACCTTCATAGAACCGGCAGAAACACTGAAATGCAAAAAAAAAGAAAATGAGGGAAAACTCAATATGCTGTTCATAAATCTCATGAGATAGATAGAAGGGGTCAGATTTTTTAAAATCTAACTAAATGTTAAAATATATATTTCTAATATTTCATTATATAGACTTATCTAGTTGCCATTGCCAATAATCGGTAAAAAAAATGTAGGCATCCATGTCATTTAGTCAGATATCTAGTGAAGTTCCTGTCCAGGTTCCTGCTTACAACAATGAACACAGAGCGAGACCTGATTCTCAAACAAATGGCTCCTTTGAACTAGTTCTTTTTTTAAATAGTTGGTCAAAATGACTCACAGGTTGCAGTTTGAATCAAACTTGTTCAGTCAGTGAATCGTTCAGAGCTGTTAATGAGTGTGTGTGTACAGTATGTGTTCTATTGGTTATTGTTATTGTTACAGTTGTAACTGAATCATTTGTAAGGGAAACTGGGAGGTTTATGAGTGATTGTTTTTTTTCAATATTCTTAAGACAGTGAATCTTTTTAAGTGGGAGAACTTGCACAATTGGTGGCTGACTAAATACTTTTTTTCCCCACTGTATATATAGTGTGTGTGTAGCCTATTACATATCAAATTTTCTATTAATGTCTGCAAAGCTGGCAGACAACCTGTACTTTTTGAATATTGAGTAGCTTGGCAATCATTTTCACCTTTGCCTCCTTGACACAGCTATGTTGGCCAGACACAAGCACACACTGTAAAAAAAATTCCGTAAAATTTATGGTAAAAAAACGGCAGCTGTGGTTGCCGAAATTTTACCGTAAGTAATACGGTAGCAACGTTTTAGGTTTTACGGTTATAACTTCAATTTACAGTTAAATACCGTAATTTCATTAACTGATATAATGTTAATATACCAACCTATAGAAGTACTGAAATCTGTTTTGTATCTTTGTAATACGCTGATAACCACCAAATGCATGCGGTGATGAGAAAGTCACATGATGAACTAAAGCCCATCACAAGCAGCTTTTAAATAATAACATATATAGAAGGTGCACAGTGTCATTCACACAAACACCAAACACCATCATGGTAACACACATGAAACTGAAATAATGCAATAAACATTCATTTAACAACATTAGGTGTAACACACAACCCTAATATACAAAACTGATAAGAAAAAACTAAGAAGAAACA